GAAAATGAAAATACATAGGTTGTATAGAATTTGTTGAATTGTTAGATGAAAGTACATTTGATATTAGTGATTGTGAAGTATTTTCTTGCTTGGAAATTGTAACAGCATGTACTGCATCAAAATTTGAAAAGGAAGGCGGCACATCATAAGTAGTTGTATTATTTATCTTTAAATAAAAAATAAAATTAATTAACATATTAATTTATTAATAATAATAAATAAATATTTATTTTTTACTTACAATTTTTCTCGCCCATAATTGTAATCTATATAGATTTAATTGAAGATGTTTTGAGTTTATAATAAAACATGGTATAAGGTGAATAGAACATCTATATTTTTCTGATAATCCATTTATTACTTGTGCTCTTGTCATTTGTTTTGATATTAAATTTTCTTTTTGAACAGCCCTAGATTTATTTTTCTTATGAAAAACTTTAATTTTTTCTGTATTAAAATCTGAAGATAAACTATTTTCTGGAATTTCCTATATAATTATAAAAATAAATATAAAATATTTAATATAATTTATTATTATTATATTATTATAATTACATACCTTTTTATTATTTTTTTTTTTTTGAATATAAATACTATTAAGAATAATACTAATTTCTATTTTTTTATTACTATCAATTATTTTTTTATATTCATCTAAAAAATCATTAAAATCTATTTCTTCCTCCAAAGTATTTGCTGTACTCCTACTATTGAGTACTTTGTATTGAAGAAAATAATCAAATACATTGAGTTTTCTATCATCAAGAGATTTTTGAATATATAATGAATTTTTTCAATAACATTATCAAAATCAATTGGTGAAATTATTAATGTTTTAGTAACATTATTTTTTTGTTTGTTTTCAATTATAATAAATAATTTTAGCTCTTCTATCTCACTTGAAGTTGTAGCTGCATCATCATAGCCATTATTTTGTAACAATATTTCTGCTGAATTATTTTTGTCTTTATATTTTGCTCTTTGATATTTACTATTGCATATAGAACAAAGTGTATAAGAAAAGGATGAATTAAAATCAGTTTCATATTGGAATTTTATATTAGTATCTTGAAGTAATTTACTAGCTTGTGAAAAAGATATATCTGGAGAAAAGGCACAAGGATAAAATTATTAACCAGGTAATGTATTTTTAACTTTAGAAAGATAAATATTTTTATTACATATACAATTTTTTTTGTCTATTTCAAAACAATATAGGTATTTTGAGTAAATATAACAACTGCCTAATTGATAAATAGTTGAGCCTTTAGTTTTTTTAAGAGACATTTAGTATAAAATAAGAGAAAAAAAAACAAATGATCTTTAAATTTAATGTGCGAAACTTAATTTTGATAAAAATTTATTGGATGATCTGAAATGTGATATAAATTTTTATGAAATTTTATTGGCTTAAATTTAAAGATCATGCACGTGATATTGTTTATTTGATATTTGAATACCTATCAATTATATTATCAAATTTTCACATGACCACATAATTTTGTAAAGAGTGATAAAAAAAGAAATAAAAATAATACAATAACAATAGAATATTATACGCAAATAGAAAATAGTAATAACAGTTTCAAATCACCACTACAACCATGTAGAGAATGTGATCTTTTTCCAAATCCAGAAAATGAAAAAACAAAAAAAACAAGAAATCACCAAAACCACATGATTGACATCAAAACAAATGAAATATAAACATATCACTTAGACTTAAGGCAGCATGAACTGAAAAAAAATTAAAAAGGAAAAACAAATAACAAAGGAAAAATACCAAAAATAATACAATCCCCACAATCTATACGATCAATTTAAAAAAGCAAATTGTATAATAGATCAAGAAAACGATGGAAAAAATAAAGACCCTAAGGTAGAAATAATAAAATATCTAGAAGATAAAATACACGAAATAATGAACATAAAACAAAAAATGATCAACTGTATCAACAATAAAATAGAAACCTATACAGATGGGTCATGTATTAAAAAGAAAATTCCAGGAAATTTAATAGGACAATATAAAAAAACAACAGCAATGGGATATGGTATAGTAATAGAAATAGAAGAACAAAACAAAAAAGAAATTCTAACTTTCAAAGGAATAACACAAGGATTACTATCATCAACCAGAGCTGAATTAATGGTGATAGCCATTTTATTAGACATATCTCCAAGAAATAAAATAATAAAGATAAATACAGACTCAAGTACAGCAATAGTGGCAATAAATGGATATATAGATTTAAGAAAAAGAAAAAAAAAATCATACAAAAATTCATACTATACATGTTCCCAAAATTAATTTTGGATTTTTGAGGTATTTCGACTTTTTGAGATTTATACAAAATCTATTCTATATATGAAAGTAAAAAAAGTACCTAATTATATGTATCTTTAATCAAAGAATAAATCTGGATGGTCAAAAAATTTTGGATTTTAAGTAAAATAATTTCGTCTTCTATGAAAAACTATTTCGACTTTTTTCCTCGAAATTGTAATTTCGGGGCTCCCAAATAATTTTGCGTGCAAGTATAATTCATATATACTGCAGACAATAGAAGAATTAATAATTAAAAAAGAAATAAAAATAGAACTAATAAAAATTAGAACTCACACAGGAATAAAACTAAATAAAAAAGCAGACCAGTTAACAAAAGAAGAAGGAAATGAAATAAAAAAAACAAAAATAAATCCAAAACAATTAAATGTAATAAAATACTTTAATACAGTAAACCAAGAAGTTTTGAACATACCGATACAAGAATACATGAAAGAAATGATATCCATAAATCCCTTGGTAGATTGGAAAATATTGTATAGAACAACTATGACATTATCAAAAACAATTATAACAGTAACAGATTGGAAACAAACAAAAGAAACACTAATGTACTCAAAAATCACAGACAGCGAAATATCACAAGAAGATCAAAAATATAAAACATTTAAGATAAAACTTTTGATAGAAGGATTATTTACAAAAAAATTAATGTATGAAAGATACCCTCAACTATATCAAAATTCAAAATGCATTAAATATAATAACCATGAAGAAACATCAATACACGCCCTAACATGTTCAAATGGAATCAAAGAACTTCAAGGAGAATTCTTTATAATAGTAAGGAAAAAAATTCAGAAAGTACACAACTACTTAAAATCACATGAGTTAATTGAAAAAGAATTTAAAACTCACAGTAATTATCAAATAGACTATAACAGAGTAAACTATATATGTTCTCAAAATTGATTTTAGATTTTTGAGGTATTTCGACTTTGTGAGATTTATGCAAAATCTATTCTATATATGGAAGTAAAAAAGTATCTAGTTATATGTATCTTTAATTAAAGAATAAATCTGGGTGGTCAAAAAATTTTGGGTTTTAAGTAAAATAATTTCGTCTTCTATAAAAAACTATTTCAACTTTTTTCTCCGAAATTGTAATTTCGGGACCTCAAAATAATTTTGCATGCAAGTATAATTTTGACAGTTTCATTAATTTTTGTTTTATCTGTTATTGGAAGTATTACTGTTTGTTTTGTTTTGTTTGCTAAGTCAATAATTACTTTATCAATTGATGGGAGTTCATCTTGTGGAATGTAAGTGGTTAAAATCCAATCTTTTGGAAGTCTGTCAAACTTGTAATGTAGTCTTAATTGTTTGACTGTTTATAATATTTGAGTTTTGTTAATTGATAAATTAATGTTAACTACTCTATTAGCTGTATTCCTATCTGTAGGAAGAGGAGGTCTGGTGTCTACTTCTAAATCGATCCATTCTTTAGAAAGTTTATTGGTTGTAAATATATATTTTTTTTTCAGAGTTTCTGTTAAGAGTTGTGTATCTTCTTTTTTGATAATTGGCAAACTGATATTCTTTCGAAGGTCTGATATATCTACGTGTTTAGGATGTTCTGGTAATTCAGTATGGATAAAGAAATATGAGTCTGGTAGTTTTCTGTCGAACCTATATTCTTTTTTTAATACGTCTAGAATGTCGTAGAACGAGATATTATCTGTAACTGTTGCTTTGTTTCATGGGAGATATTTTCTAATATCTTCTTTCACGTCATTATAGTCTTGTAGTAGTTCTGACTTTTTCTTTATCTGTACATAGTTATTTGAAAGTTTTGTAAGTAAGGTATAAAATTTTCATAGTTCTTGTTTATATTCATATATTTCTTTCATTTGTTCTTTAGTTTGTATTGGTAATTTTGTTTTACATAAGAGTTCATCTCTTAGGTTGATGAAGTTTTGTGGTAACAGTTCTTTCGGACAATAGTATTTGATAGGCAAAAAGCCAAAGTCGTATCATTTGTACAATACTTGTAATACTTCCGTTAAGTATGTGTTGTCTTTGAGTGGAGAGTTTACTTTTGGAAGTTCTGCTATTGTTTTGTTATGCAAGTTGATAGGGTCTTTGGATAAAGTATGTTTGGCTGATTTGAATTTATGGAAGTGTTTCACACATTGTCTGATAAATTGGTTATAATTAAATTCTATTCTGTTAGGTCTTTTGTGTGGTGGTAGGATGAAATTGATTGTGTATATTATGAGTTGAGCCATGTCTCTTCCTTCCCAGTTTTTTGAGAAATTTATACTATGTAAATAGTACCACATAATTTTCATTCTCAAGTGATCTCATAATTCGCTATGAAGTTGAGGGGAGAGAGTTTCTTTGTTATTAATGTTATTTTTTTCTTTTAATTGCTTGATTTCTTTTTCTAGTAATATCAACCATTCTTTTATGTGGTCTGGAGCATCTTCTAAATTGTTTGGTAGTTTACGAAATATAACTTTGTCTTTATTATATTGTAAAAGAAAAACTCTTAGTGCTTCTTTTTCAAAGGGGACCACACTTCTTTCAAAGTTTGTTAAATAATTTAATAGTATTAAGGCATTTCTGAATTTAGTCAAATATTGTGTATAATTGTTTACTGTAATTGGTGGTAAATTGTGAATAGAATTTTCTAGGTCATTTTTTGGGTTTAGATTTTGTGTATCATTAATTATCATATCTGAAAATTTATAATTTGTTATTGGTATTGTATTTGTGTTGGTTGCATATTTGTTTTGTGTTTCTTGCATATCAACTCAGTTTTGTGTTTCATAGTCGTATTACATAACTGGTGTTCTTTGTTTGTCAGCTGAATTATTTGTCTGCTGATCATTTTTAGGGGGTGAGAGAGTTACGCATTTTTTTGGAGGTGCTGGAGAGTTTTCGCGAGAAGAATTAGAAGAATTGTTTAGTGAAATACAGTTTGTATCTTCTAAAATGATCATTTTTTCTATTGAATTAATGGAATTGATATATAGTTCTTGATCTTCTTAGTTGAGTGTTATATTATCTATGCTATTCATCGCTTGCTTTACTTTTTTTTGTTATAAGTAAGAAGGAATAGTGTCAAAGGTTTAAGCTACAGCTGTAAATTTTCTTGTGTTGTAAGAGATATTAATACTATTAAAGGTAACCAGCACTGCGTATTCTGGGTTATCGATAATGTTTTCTGTGAAGGTAATTTATTTTTGTTGTTTATAAGTTGTGAAAAGGAAAAAAGTAGGAAATTCTAGAACTCTTGGAAGTGTAGTAGTTTTTCTGAAAATGTCATGTTTTATAACTTTGTTTGTTTTTTAATTTTTCAAAAAGAGAATTGCTAAAGTTTTTGATGTCGAAGTGTTTCCTTCAGGAGATTGAACTCCTAGAAAAATTTTTTCGTCTCTTGCGTCCATAAGATTTTTGAATTTTTGAATTTTTTATTTTCGATTTTGTCAGATGCAGGAGAGAGTTTTTTTTTTTTTTTTGATGTTTTATTAATAAATTACGAACTTTTATATGTAACAACCTTTTGATAAATTATTCTCAGATTTTTTAAAAAATATCAATGATAAAATAATCGACAGTGATATTAATTAAAAAATCTAAAATAACTATCAATAGTTACTACATATAAAAGTTAATAATATATTAATAAAATAACAATTGTATTACTAATTAATCTTATAGCTAAGAATTTGAAGCATCTTTAATGAAGTTTTTAGAATTTATTCTTATGAATTGAATTTAATATCAACGACTAAATATCGGATGTTTAAAAATTATTCTTTGAAATTTAATCGCTTATTATTCACTCACTTTTTATTAAAAAAAATCTGAATTCTTTATACGAGATGTAAAATATTCTTAGCTTTAATATTACTTAGTATTATATTTGTCAATATTTTAATAAATAAAAAACTTTTATTGTTCAGACTTTTTTATTCTAACCAATTACAAAATA